CTGACATTCGTGATATTTTTCGCCCTTTCGGCCGACAGCCGAAAGGGCCTTTTTAACCATTTTCGGCCGATAATTTTCGGCGGCCGAATATTCGGTGCATCCCTAATTGATACTATAAGCTGACTAACGTTAGTCTAATGTTATGTTTGACTCGTAAACGACCACAACATGAGTTAGCTCTCTGTGCAGTTTGTTCGTTCCGGGTTAGTAGCGGTGTGTTCTGCAGACGTAAACTAGCTACCATTCCATCCAACATTAAATGCTGACAAACGTTAACTAACACACAGCTGGCGACGCTAGCTAGGTAGCTAACATTAACTACTAACCAACCAAGCACGAACAAACCGCACGGAGAGCTATAAGATAGTTAGCACTACCGAAGTGCACAGAACTCAAGCTGCACAACACACTAGGGCTGTTCCTATTTATGAATATGCTTTTATTTTGAAGGAGAGGTAGCGCTGTTGACAGGAAGTTGTTGTTGCTATGGAAACAACGTGACGGAGATTAACGGAGAAAAGTAATATCTACATATAAAGACGGAGAAAGTAAACGATAAAATGTATGGTTAAGTGTTAGCACCCCCCGAACAAGCTCTTACGTTGATATTGGAGATTTCAATAAATTCAATTTGAAAGACCTAGGGCGAGATGTTTTTGTTTGGGGGCTTTTTGCAGGGCTTCGTGCGCAATCCTGTGAGGAGGAGGTGGTAGCCGTTTCGGTCTCCATAGTGTTTAAAGTGCGATTGCGAACTGCGTGTTGTTGTTTTGGGTGGCGATGCGTCGACGAGGAAATATGTCGTCGACGATATTTTGAAGTCATCAATTAACATAACAATTATATATGATTATATGCCTTCATTGTTTAGTTTTTTTTACACATTATACTTTTGATAACTAACAAAATAAAATTGAATAATTTGAAAGCCTAAGTTCTTTGTCATCACTCACCCTGCAGGGTTTATACTGAGTCCCCCCCCACCTTTAGGCCTGTTGTTGCGTAAAGCTTGGGGTTATGTTGGATTTTCCCCCCGATAATTCATCAATACATTTAGCTCTTTCTCTCTCCACCTGTCACAATCATCTGAGTCCATGTGTGTCATGTGTTGCAATTAGACACGCAAAGCCTAAGAGACAGAGTGTAGCTAATGCGGGGTTAGCTGACAGTCACGGACCAAATAAAGCCTTTCGGAAAGATTAATTCGCATTTTTCACATACTTTAAGTTATATAAATACATGTATAAAACTAATCAACTATAAAGAAAGTGGAGAGCAGTATCATTGCATTAAATGTTAGCAGCAGGACACCAGAGAAGTAACCACATCCATGATCCATGCAATATCACTGCCAGATACACAGCATGGAAAATCACAAGCACATGTACATATGCACACGCACAAACAGCCATCCTGAGCTGTGGACAATGGCTTGCAGACGTTAAGACATGGGCCTAACTTCAAACAGTACATACCAAGAACCGATAAACAGCAGCCAGCGCATCACACTTCTAACACAAAATAACCTGGATGGAGCATTGTAATGGATAATGTTTGTCATCAAGGTTACTCACTCATATAACCAACCACTAAGTGCTCTGTTGTGGAACACGTCCAGTCACAGTCACAACAGGACCCTTGTGGATGCCAGACAAAGATTCTGGGTTTTAGATGTAAACTCGGAGCATTTTGTTATTTATGAGATGGATCAGCAAGTTCAGCTACAAATCACCTACTAATGTTTAACATTCCCCTTTTTAATCTGCTTCATCTACAGCACAGCACCACTTCCCAACATGTGCTGTTTTCATGTGCAATGCATTATTCAAATGTATTAGTAATGTATTGTTCTTAACACTTTTTACGTCATGTTGATAAATGCTGCTGTTATTGGTTCTGAACTTGTTTTAATATTCTACTTTAACCCTTTAGTTTTAGATATACAATGGAACTTTTATGAACTAAGAGTAATGCTTTTCGTCAAAGGTGTCATCCGGTTAGACCGCATATATACGATTCCTGCTTTTATCAGCAACTGGGAAGTTATTCTTGCAAATTATCCTATTTCAGTCATTTCAATTCTTGAACACATTCCATCACTAGCATTAGCATTAGCACCCTAGCATCACTTTTTTTTTACCAACTTGCTGGTTTAAAGTCAGAATCCTGAAACCAGAATGTTTTGTACATAGCAGCATCAGGAATCATGCAGGATTGGATGTTAGAATAAAAAGTCACTGGTATTGATATAATACAAATGCAAATAAAAAACAAAAACAATATCATACATATTGTCACTTGCAGTTATGCCTGAATGCCCTAACACAGCAGTTTCTCCAGCCTGTTGAGTCAGTCAGTGTTTTGCAAGGCCACAGCTCAGTTTTCTACATGGTGAACCACCAGATCCTCCTCACCATCCTCCAAGAACAATCGGTTTCTAAATCTGCACTATCCATGTCAACCTCCAATGTCAGGTACTGCACTTATTGGAGGAGATTCTGAGTCTCATCCTCGTAGCCTTACTAATGGAGTCCCTCAGGGATCTGTTCTTGGTCCCCTCTTTTCTCTTTACCGCAAGTCATTTTATTCTATTGTTCACTAAATGTCTGCATGTGCCTTCCAAACTCTAATATTCATTCAGAATAAAGCAGCCCTGCTGCTTGTCAACCTACCCAAGTTCTCACACACCTCCCCTCTGCAACATTCACTGGCTCCCAATGGGTGCTCCAATCCTATTAGAGACACTGGGACTTGCCTACCATACTATTGTTTAGATCTCTACACCCAGGACATGGCCAAACAGTACACTATATCCTGTCCACTACTCTCTGCATCGGCAAGGGGATTACTAATCCTTCAATACGAAGAGAAAAGCTGCCGCTCTATAACGTTTGCTGTAGTTGCTTATTGTAGTCCACAATGGTGGAACACAATCCTAACTCTACACATCTTAAGACTGAAAATAAAATTGCTCTAACTCCCCCTTTGCACATACAAATAAAATATAATTCTCTATTTATTCCCGTTTTTAAATGTTGCACTTAAAATGGTTCAGCATATCTGATGTTTGATATTTGACATGCATTTTTTAGTTTTATCCTCACGGTTTTATTCTACCTTGTTTTGGATAAAACTGTCAGCTAAATGCATGTAACGTTATCAAGTGAGTCATTCGTTGGAGTCCTACCTGACAGACTCGCATGGTATTGTCCAGCACCGTCTTGGTGTCGGTGTTGTAGTCGCTGCATGGCAGCTGGGCGTGGCTGAAGTGGGCTTGCAGCAGCAAGTGGGTCTTGGTGTGGGCGCTGTCGTAGGAATGTGGGTTGACCTTCAGGGGGAGCTGCTGAGCCAGCTGGCTGTTCAGCTGGTCCTCGTTGTGTCTGACGGGCAGCTCCGAAAACTCTTCTGCATCCTGTGAGACAGAGATCAAGAGTGAAACAGGAATTCTAAGGCATGTTGTGTTCAGGTCTTTTTAATCCAAGCATCTACACTTCAACAGCTGCTTTTACCTCCCTGCTCTTCTTGTTTTTTAAACTGACTGTTCCACTACCCCACAAAGACCATTAAAGATTACCAAATTCTATTGTTATACCTTTTAAGATGTAAACAATGTCTCAAACTATGGTTTACTGAATAACTGCAGTGAATATACAAAGAATAGACCCTGAAAATGTCTTCCAAAATGAACATGGTGGTTGATTTGTGGGTGTGTACTATCTCCCTGTACCTTCATCTCTATGGCGGACATTTTTGACTGGGAACACCATAAGTGTTACAAAGTTCACTAAACCACAGATCAGCAGTTTTATATGTTTAATGCCTACTGTGGAGGATATCATAAGGTGTTGAGTCAATCAAATGTAAAACAGAATATCTATGATTGATGAAAGAATAAAATCGGTTAGATTTCACCCGAACCCCACAGGAGGGTTCAACTACCTGATGATGAAACATCCACTTCACTTGTACTGCTTCAAGAGTTGGCACAATATTTTGACTTCTTCAAATTCTTTGATGTAAATGTCTGGAAACGCTGCACATTGATGACAGAGACACAATGAAACCCTGATGGTCACTGCATAAGTCAATTGACGCCAATAGTCCATCAACTTCCTCTTTGTACTAAGAGCGTGTTGCACCCTGTTTTTGCTTCCCATACAGAGAGATGCACAGACACGCGTGGCTCCTCTCTTCTAATTCACTTCAGTTGAACTTCGCCTAATGTAGTCCCATCAACTGGCTCTGCTGGAGGCGTTTGTCATAGCGTCTCCCAGCAGGGACTGCCAGGACTCCATCCATCACTGACTCAAACCAGTGTTTCAAAAGCTAGGACAAGAAAAAAGACCTGCGCAGTGTGGGGGCTGGGACGAGGAATTGGAATAGGAATAATGTTCGAATAATTGATCTCTCAGTGTTGTTTTGCCTGGTATGGATGTTCTGGAGAGACTATAGATCTTCAAGCGGGCTTCATAAGCAACAAACACCCCACACCCTATGATAGTAGCTTTCACAGAGACAGAGGAGGGAGAGAGTGATGAGGAGGAGGAGCTTTAAAGAACTATTTAGAGAGAAAACAGAGAGGTGGATGCACAAAAGCCTAAATACAAATTCCCCAAAACTTAAATAGACACATATATTACACACTAGCGTTGTTTCCTGTCATTGACTCCTTAGACAGTGTCCCCCCTAATTTCTCAGAAATGCTACAGTTGTAAAACTGTACTGGTTTGCTAATTGCATAAATCAGTATAAAGCAAAATGCCAAAGCAGTTTGAAGACGTCTCTTTGGAAGGATGGACGGACACAGAGATGTATTGATGTATAGTTAGATTGTTGCAGCTATGTTTAAATGACTTGCATTCAAAAGTTAAGGTTTGGAAATGTATTTCAACGTAGAATATTATCTTCATAGTTAAACAAAAAGTGAATAATTGTAACTGAAAAAGCGTTTATCTGGTTGATCCAAACCACTTCATTTGGAGGAAAAGTATTGATAATGTCTGTAATAATACCTCAACGCAAAGTCTTAAACGAAGAATGAGAGGTCAAAGTTAAAGGAGTAAGGGGTCTTCATGGCAGTAGTATGGCTGATAATGGCCTACTCCACCTTTAGTGTGCCTTGTCTTCTTGTAAACAGATGGATTCACTGTGAGACAAGTTTAATTGTATGAATCAGAGGAGCAGGAAAGAAAAGAAAACAATGACTGAGTAGCAGAGGCCTCAGAGAGGGGGGGGAGGTGTGGGTGTTGCTCATTAGTGGCCACACTGCAGCAATTAGAGGGAGCTGGAGGACCATGCTGCTGCTAACACAGGGGGAGTGTGGAGGGAGGGGATGGTGTCTATTCTATTGCAGCTTGTTGGGGTGGGGGGGCAGCCAGGTATGGCATACGTTGGTGTATTTCCAACTACATGTGTGCAGAGGAGAGTGATGTTTCTCAGAGTAGCCTCCCCTCCATATGTTGGCATCAGTATTGAAGTCAGCTTCAGCCCTGAAGACATTCAATGGACCCACAGCTTCATGGTAAACGCACACAACAAGAATACAAGCTTATTTACTTCGAAGACACAAGCAATAAACATATTTTGAAAAAGTCTGCTTTCTGTGGCTTCTGTGGCTTCTGTTTACAGGAAGAAAAGGCACACTAAAGTCTTTATATTTCTACTACAGGAAATATTAATTGCATAACCATTATTATTATTTAAATGTCGTTATGACAATCAGCAATGAATGTATCCTACTAAGAACTATAATGTGAGACTGATATGTCTTGTTCCTCTGTACATACAGTTCACTTATCACAAGCACACCAAAAGCTCAAACCGGATTATGCTAGATTTCTGCTGCATGGTACATTATTTAAATATTTTATTTTAATTTGATTGGATATTATAAAAAATATCTTTTTACAAGACAAAATATTACTGCAGGTTTACCAACAATTATGGTTTGGTTTAACTTGTTGCTATGACATTTTTTAAATACTAGCCTTAAAATAATTGACCAAGTGAAGAAATGCACTATAAGTAATACGGATGTTCAAAGCAATTAGAAGCCATGAAAAAAAAGTAAGTCATCACCCCACTCAGAGAAAGATGTTAGACCACCATGTCTTGTGTTGACCCCCCCAATCCCAAGCAAGAGTGTGGATGACCTCACAGCCGGCTGGCTGAGGTCATTCAGTAAAGGCAGAGGACAAAGTATCACACCCACCCACCAGCAGGAGGAGAGCTAATGAAGCTCAGGCAAAGGTGCTAATTTGATAGGAGGGAGTAAAGTGTGTGTGTGTGTGTGTGTGTGTGTGTGTGTGTGTGTGTGTGTGTGTGTGTGTGTGTGTGTGTGTGTGTGTGTGTGTGTGTGTGTGTGTGTGTGTGTGTGTGTGTTTCCCTAAGGTATCTTGTATTCGCAAATGGCAAAAAAGAAAAATAATATTAGGGGACCGATCAGATATTCTCAGTAGAGTTCTAAGGAGTTACAAATGTATTCCTGTTTCACATGTAACTCCCTCTGGGGGGAACACAGGGATTTGAGCCTTTGCAGACCATTTGACATAAACCTACGTATATGACACGATACAGGAAAGGGAAAACCCTTAAAAGCATAATTGGGCCCCTTTAAACCTAGACTTCAGACCAATACACAAATGTGCTAACATACACAATTTTCTGTTGTAGATCTACATGAATCCCATAGGAGTGTAAGAAGGTGAGTGGTGACAGGAGGAGTGTGAGAGTGAGAGACTCACGGTGAGGACGGAGAGCAGCTCGTGGAGGGGCAGCTCGGCTCTCAGCCGCTCTTTGAAGGTGCGGATGGTCTGGTGCTTCAGGTAGTAGTAGGACGAGATGCGACCATAGGTCAGTGGCTCAATGGTCTGATCATCCTGGAGCATTAATGGGATTAACAATTAGAAAAATCAAAAAGTGAATCTTGTGTATATACAATATACGAACAACAAAATAATACAAACCTCTTTTATCTCTAAGCAGTAAGAGCACTCCAGGTCCCGCAGGCTTTTCTCCACCAGGTTGGACAGAAACTTGTTAATGGACTCGTGGCTGACGTCTTCTAGGTTGTAATAACTAAACAACACAGGAAATAGGGTCTTTGCAAAAACATTAATTGACCTGACAGTATGAGAAATACACAAGAAAGCCTGTTTGCCATTCTGAGTATGGTCTCAGCCAAATTGAGATTGTTTTACATGCTTCTTAGTTGCTTTTATCCCCCAATTTCCTTTAGATAGGGTGGCTTAAGAAGAATGAAATACTGTTTGACATATTCAAGATGTGCAGAGTTCAAGTACAGCTGTAGGTTGAACTCCACTGCTTAAATCATAACTGTGCTGACGGTGTTCACATGCACATCGCACAGTATCCTGGCTAACAGTTTGCATTTAACACCACACAGTGTTTTAGAAACCTGGAGGAGTCACATCACCAATGAACAGCCAAAATGTCGACAATTGCAAAACGTATTGATATAGGGGAGTGGATGATAAAGGGATTTAATGATCAAAAATACTCACAATATGTTGTCGTGAATTTACATTATTGGGATGATGTAAATATCATAGCATAAGCGACTACAAAAAGCTGTCTAACTCACTATCATAGGAGAGAAGTGAAAAAAGAGGACATTCTCAAGTAGGAAGGACAGAAGCCACAAACCCAGGGTTAAGTTATAATTTTACCACTTTGGGTCTCCCTGGTCCTAAAGTCTATCGTTTTCTTTAAGTGTTTTTGGTTAGATTACCAAAATAAGGTCTTAGGTTAACACAAACTGAAGAGATTTACACATTTTGTTCTATTGCAGGTCCACTGCAACTCTTACTACTTTTAAATCCAGGCTGAAGACTTTTCTTTTTGCCGCTGCTTTTAATTGATATATTCATGTCTTAAACTGCACTGTAACTTTTTATTATCTTTGCTTTTAAATGAGTGTTTTTAAATGTCATTTTCAATAATGTTTCTTAATGCTCTTAATGTCTTTCATTTTTGTAAAGCGCTTTGAATTGCCTTGTTTTGAAAGGTGCTATATAAATAAACTTGCCTTGCCTTGCCTATGTTAACAAGTGATTAAACAAGACTGCTAGATGTCAACGAGTCAAACATTAGCCACCTTTAGCTTAGCGGTTGTGACACGCAGCCTTGTGACCGTGCTGTAGTTCCTTTATAGCCTAACGTTAGCTTTTTACTTTAAAAATCATAAAGTGGTGTTAATATGTGGAGATTATCCTGCTGAACAAAACGTGTAGGTATCTAACACACACTGTAAATGTATCTGACACACACTGTAAATGTATCTAACACACACTGTA